ATACAACATGGTAAACCTGTGATGTGTTTGTTTGTTTCTCTTTTAGAATGCGGATAAAATATTGGAGAAGAGTACCCCGTTATGCAATGGTCAAGGAAGTAATGCAGATAAGGTTCAAGATAGTGACACATCCCTGTTGATCTCCAAGAAAGCTGATAAAAGCTATATTGAAGACACTAAGGCAACCCCAAAGTCATGTCTTGATGTAGTGTTCGAGTTACTGGCTACTACTGCTGGCACCAGCTCTTCGAACTCGCTGCCTGAATCAATTCAGCTTCTTGAGTCTCGACTTCAAGATGAAAGACATCGATAAGATGTTATGCGACAGGAAGCCGAAGGACTGAGGAAGTCCCTGCAGAATTCAGATGCATACCTTATGGTGCAACAACAAGTGCTGGAGGATTTAAGCGTCGAACAACAGAAAGTTAATAAGCTTACTAAGCATCTTGCCAGCATTATGGGTACCCAGGATATTGTTTCTCGAGCACTTCTGAAGTGGTTTCATTGTTTTGTTGCGGCATTTATTTGCACTGGTCACGAACTTTGACAACCAGTGTATATGATATGCAGCTTTGTTCCCTATATTTGCACTAGTGGTGAACTTTGATGCCCAGTGGATGTAATATGTGTAATAGTCGTGATAGCCTAGCGTAAGTTTCTTGCTTATTTATTTCCTTGTTGTCTTGATTATTTGTTTGCTTGTAGTCAGTGCAGTTCTTTTTCCGCGGTTTGCTAGTGGCCGCAATAACCTATTTTTTTAAAACTAGGCCACAATAACCATGGGCTACATATTTACTGTATTTACCATGGGCCTCCTACGGGTCGTAGAAACAATGGGCCTTCTAAGGGCCGTAGCATCAATGGGCCTTCTACGGGCCGTATGATCGATCGGCCAAACATGGGCCAATAACAGACCGCATTATGGACCGTAAACGGGCTAGATTTGAAATCCTCCTTTCATGGGCCAACCATAACGGGCCGTCGTTAATCGGCCGTATTTGATGACGTTACAAAAACGGCCCAAAGGATTAACGGGCCGCAAACGGGCCAATTGTAACCATGGGCTAAATTTGGCCCACAAGCAGAAAAGGCCAGTAACGGGCCATAAGTAACCGAATGCTGGAAATAAGCCCAAGAATAAATCGGCCCTGAGAAGGCCGAAAGATAACACGGGTTGGAAACGTCCCAATGGAATAATGGGCCATTAATGGGTATAAAGTGGTACACTGTTCATTGCGGGCCAGATTCACCACGGGCCATTAATGGGCCAAGAGTTACAAATGGCCTCGTATGGGCCGAAAGATATCATGGGTCGTACATCGGCCAGAAGTTACAATGGGCTGGAATCATATTGGACGGCCAAGATGAAGCTACTAGGCTTAATTCTGATAGGCCGTAACGTGCCGTGAGTTAGCGGGCTGTAAATGGGCTATATATAAACAGGCCGTTAACAGGCTTTTCGTGGGCTGGCTCGTTACCTTTTGACCAAGTCAAACAGCCGGCCTTTTCACCGAAATGGGCCTCTGTTGGGCCGTGCCACATGCCGACGTATCATAGGCCCCTCCTATCCAATGAATGGATGACATCTGTCCCAATGGTGAGCCAACACGTGTTTCCTCCGACCAATGACAATTTTACACGTGGAAAATCCTCTTTGGTCCGGGCTGTGAACGGGTTATCGGATCCAAAACCGGACCCAATAGTGTAACGGCGACCCGTTACGGTGGATGCCACGTGTCGGTCACCCTTGATGAAAGCACTTCTATGACATGTGATTTATCGTCATGGAAGTGGACACTTCCGTGATGATAATTTTGGTAATGTCATGGAACACTTCTACGACAGCACAGGTATGACTATCTTGATTCTGTTATAAAATTGTCATGGATGTACATACATGACAGAAAATGTGACCTACTGTGACCAACACGTATCATCACGGAAGTGTCTTTTTTGTAGTGGAGGTTGTGCGCTACCTCATTGGCGGGGTGGAGCCACCGCTCACCGCAGATGGTGCGAGTGCAACACACAAACCTGTAGAGTGCAAGCTTCTCATCGATGAAGCACGTATCCTCCAAGACCATGGTTGCGATGGCCTTCTCGCTCGTCTGCTTGCCGAAGATCTGGCCCTCCACGAGCCGGTGCTGTTTGAGGTGTTGTAAGTTGTACTGCTACTCATCCTGCAGCATCTTGAACATGGAGACCGATGGAGCCACCCGTTCCTCCCCTGCCATGAAAGCGTCGAAGTGTGCCTGTGCTATGGTGAATCCCATGACTGGAGCGGGTGCCTGATCCTCGTTGTACATATCCTCCATTGCCCGCTCCTCATCATTCCATCTCTCCTCCCGTGAGCTGGAGGCATTCTTGCCTCAATGCGGTGCGCACACTCGTCTTCCCAGTCATGCATAAGCTCCGCGGTCTCGTGTCGGTGACGCGACGAGAGCTTCTTCCACAACACACATTCAGTCTTGGTCGTTGTGTCGACAATCGTGGAAGGAGGAGGAAGGGGAGCAGTGGTGCACCGGCGGAGGTCAGATGAAGGTAGATGGGACTCAGACGTGGTGCAGGTTTGTGTCGGTCAGGCGAAACACAATTTAATTAGCGGGCGCCCAGGCAAGCGGGGCAATGTCTTGAATACGCCGACCAGGTGGGGGAATAACTTCTCGTTCGTCGTGCCAGCGTGAATGTTGGCCAGATGGACAAATTTTAGCCTGCTTGAATGCCATAGGAATTTGTCTCGTAGCCCATCCGGTCATGCTCGATTTGAACTGACATGAACGCAGCGCTGAGAGCGGGCGGCGGGCCAGACCTCCGAATCGATGTGTATTCAGCGCCATTAGGCTGGCATGCGCCAGTGACCGATCAAGTCCGCTTTGGACCAGCATGAATGCGGCGCGAAGAGGGGAGTAGCGGTTGGAGTAGGAAAAGACAAATGATTTTGTGTGGGTCGGGGTGTCGGACGCCTACATGACGGAGGTCTGGACACCCGGATATCTCCCCCAACATTGCTTCCGGTTTACAGAAAGCCGGACGTGTGGGCCTGTCCGCGAACATTTGATGGACGACGTTGGAGGGCACGAACTGTAGAAACCGCACAGTCCCGACATTTACAGACGGTTTGATGCACAACGTTGGAGATGTCCTAAGTACATGGCAAATTTGGCATCGCAAAAGCCCTAAGTAGCACACGTGCTCTACTTATATTCTGCCAATATTCTTCGCAACTTAACAATTGTCATGGACCTAGAATAATTTTGTGGAATCCAATAAAATATGTGTTATACTTAAAATTATATATTATTTTTGCTACACTTCCAAAATAATACAGATGATGCTCTCAAGTTTGAAAGGCAACCATGTGTTAGTTCTGGTAAAAAAGCATAGTCGAACCCTCAAAATTTAGCCCTTCAAAAGCTGTTTCAAATCTTAACTCCTCAATAAAAAGTGCTTCCTAGCTTAACTCTTAAAGGTTAACCCCCTAAAAAATATTCTGCATATTTTAAACACAAATTTAAATTACATAATTTCATAATTGAATAAAGGTAGCACATCATACATAGCACAATTAGATGGTTTATTACCACCTAGCATACTTTAAACTACATAGCATATTTTAAACTACATAGCATAATTAGACAACTTTAAATTGCTCATCATTGTTGAAGATATCGTCCCAATTCACGCCGAAGTAGGAAAGCCAGAGGGTCCGGCCTCATCGGCGTTGTTGCCACGCTTCTTGGGCTTGAACCACTCTTGTTTCGCGGCGACTAGCTCCAGATTCTTCCCGATGGGCTAAGCCATATAGGTCTTGTCGATAGCTCGGCCTCGAGCTGAATTAAATTTCAAGAAGTCTTATACCTCCTCGGCACGAGAGGCCACTCTAGCAGGAGGCTCGATTAAGTCCGGGGCGGGGCCACAGAGGGGAAGTTACCTTCGCCCGGGCGAGTAGCGGCAGACCACACGCCGCCTGCAACGTGGACTGGTATGTGCCGAGCCACCGCTTCTCCACATGTTCGAATTGTGGATCTCCATTGCCGAATCGCCCTAGGCCGCACGCCGTGGTACTTCTTCGGCGGCAGCGATGACAGAGACATGGATCTCGAGCGGGCGGGGGCGGCGGGTACTCGGGTGGTTGCGCCGACCCGTTCCGGACGAAATGCGGATACGGGGTGGCCCTCCTCATCGACGAGCTCATGGTAGCAGATGTGGCTAGACTCATCGATTCACGTGACGTCAGTAGGCGCTGGTCAATTAAAGTGTGGCACGAGGATGGCGGGGGCTGCACGGTGGCCGAAGGGGGAAAGGAAAGTGGCGGAAGCAAGAAGGTTGGTGCCTGCGTGGAGGCAGCCGAGCCAGGGAGAGCGACATCCAAGCCACGGAGGAAATCTTTTTTACTGAGAAGTGGCTTCGGCTGCTCAAATTTGAGGCACAACTGATATACCGCATTCTTTTTTTGAGAAGTTAAACTGGATGAGAGTTTGGCTATTGTTGCCATGAACATGTCTATGCATGTTAGGCCCTATTTGGCAAAACACCACTCCTCCAGGACGGAGCGGAGTGCGCGGAGCGCCGGGTTAGCAGCTCCTAAATTACAATTACATGTCGCTCCGCTCCAGAGCGGAGTTGCAGAGGGGAGGGATTCCAAACAGACTCTCAGTCCTACAAATTCGTCTGTGTCATCAATCGTCGTTGGCTTTTCCTTTTCTTTGCAGGAGCATAAACTCCTGTAAGACTTGCGATTCCAGTACACAGGTCGATGCAGAGGCGACATCCATTTCGGTTAGGTTCTTGTGAGTGCGGCATATAGGCCAGCGTTGAATTTTTTTAATTTAGTTCACAGTTGCTGTTTCTTCGTCATTCCACTAATTGTCACCGCTCCATGTCCTGGCTTCACGGCGGCGGCATTAAATATTCAACAGAATCTGTTAACCGTTGAGATGTGATCGACACCCGATACAGGGATCGCTTGCCATCTATTCGCACCGCACCAGGGTTTCAGAATGGCATTCAAGACCGATCCGTCCCGACGTGATCTCGCCACCAAACCAAATGCAAACCGTTGGAGAAAACATAAACACCTTCGTCCTGGTCGGACGCAGCGGCCACAGCTCCACTACTTCCTCTCCGGCATCTACTTAAGAACTGCAAAGGTTTTTCTTCCGACAAAGAATTGCAAAGGTGAGCTTACTTCTTCTTCTTCTGCAAAGGTGAGCTTACTTCTGTAGCCCTTTCCCCTTCTGCTTTGCTGAATCCAGAACCAAGAGAGACATGACGCTGGATGGTGGGCGCAGCCGTTCCTGAGCCGAGATGTATCTTGATGTGCAGAAGATGCCGACGTTGTGCATCACGGTGGACATGGGGTGCAGCCGCTGCAGTGCCAAGATCCAGAGGGTCCTGTCCTCCATCCAGGACCGAGGCAAGTTTGTCATCGAGAAGATCGTGTACGAGGATAACAGGGTGCTCGTGTCGGGGCCCTTCGACGCCGACAAGCTGACATGCAAGCTCTGGTGCAAGGCCAGCAACGTCATCAAGAACATTGAGGTCGTCAAGCCGCCGGTGGTAGCCAAGCCGAAGGACGACCCTCCCAAGCCCAAGAAGAAAGAGGACAAGCCCGAGCCCAAGCCAGCCCCGTGCAACCAGCTGGTGCCGTACGCGTATCCGCTGCCGTACCCGCTGCCGTACCCATCGGCGTGCCCGTGTGGCTGCGCTACGTCGTACTGCGAGTGCCACTCCAAGCCACCTCCTCCGGCACCGGCGCCGGCGCCCACGTGCCAGTGCCCGGCGTGGTCATCTTGCCACTGCCACACCTACCCGCCGTACCAGCAGCCCATGCCCATGCCGTGCACGCCGATGGTCATCTGCGAGGAGAGCCCGCCCGCCTGCACCGTCATGTAACTGCGACACGGTGTGCACCATCTCTTCGAAGCCTCCATGTATCCATTCCATGAGTGATTTGTTTGTAATTCTTTCAATATATTTCCTTAAACGTCTTCGAGCTTAATGATTTCTGTCGAATAAGTGAGCGGTGTATATATGTTGCTTAAGGAATCAGGAATTCCCAAGCAGCCTAGAGCAATTTTCACCTTGTTCAAAGATCCTTTACTCTTAGAATTTGGAAATACAATGCCTTGTTTTACTTTTATATAAAGTGTAATGGATTTCTTTCACCACTTAAATTACAATGCCTACCTAGGCCGACTGATCTAAATTCGGAGAGCCTGAATCTGGAGACTGTTGATCTTCATGGCATTGATTCTGACATCCCCGAGAAGGAGGTTAAGGCGGCCATTGATGCTATGACAGGTAACAAGGCCCCGGGACCTAACGGCTTCACGGTCATTTTTTTTGAGAGATGTTGGCACATCATTAAAGATGATGGCATGGGTTATCGAACAGTTCAGTAACCTCCAAACAATAAACCTACACTGGCTTAACTTAACCAACATTGTGCTATTGCCAAAAAAGGATGGGGCGGAGTTGATTGGGGATTTCCGCCCCATTAGTCTTATCTATGCTATTGGTAAGATCATAGCCAAGGTGCTGGCAGTCCGTCTTTCCCCATTGATGAACAACTTTGTCTTCAATAAACAAAGTGCTTTCAATAAGAGGAGAAGCATTCACGACAACTTCATGTATGTTAGAAATCTAGCGAGGCCGCTAAATAAACACCTTCCCTTGTCTGCTCTTCAAGCTAGACATTCGGAAGGCCTTCGACTCGGTGCGATGATGGTACATCCTTGACCTGCTACGTCGTCTGGGCTTCCCGCACCGCTTCCAGGAGTGGGCGGCGGCTCTACTTTGCACTTCCTCTTCGTGCGTTCTTCTTAATGAAGTTGCCGTGCCTCCCATCTACCATGGCCGCAAGATTAGATAGGGGTACCCCCTCCCCCTTCTCTTTGTCCTGGCAATTGACCCACTTCAAGGGGTTCTGGACGCCGCTACGAGACACAACCTCTTGCACATGGTCAGAGGACGATGCCCAGCTGTTTGTACCTGACTTTACGCGAATGACGCGACGGTCTTTCTCACGTCGACAAAGGAGGATATACACAACCTTGCTATAATCTTAAATCATTCGCCGAGGTTACCGGTCTGGCCACCAGTTTCGAGAAGAGCTATGTGGTTGCCATCCGTTGCCGCCAGTTAGACCTTGATGAGATCCTCCATAGCATCCCTGCCGTTCGCACGTCCTTCCCATGAAGTATCTTGGGCTCCCCCTCTCCATCTGGCAACTGAAGACGGTGGATTTCCAACATCTTGAGGATAAGGTTGTTGCAAGATTGCCTCCCTCGCAAGGAAGAAACATTACCACGGATGAATGTTCAAACTGGTGAAGTCAGCGCTCACTTCTCAAGTCATCTACCACATCACACCACTTGTGATCCCCTCTAGTGTCCGACAAAGTGTTAACAAGATTGAGTGTGCCTTCCTGTGGTCAGATGGAGAGAAAACTACCAGTGCGAAATGCAAATTCAACTGTGAAACCATCTGCCGCCCTACTGACCTTGGTGGACTCGGTATCCTGCATTTGGGCAAATTTGCGAGGGCTCTCCGCCTGGGATGGCCTTGGTTGGAATAGAAGGATACCACCAAACTGTGGGTGGGCCTCGGGAACCCGTGAAACGAGGTGTACATCGACCTTTTCTATGCCTCCACTGTCATTTCCGCCAGTAATGGAGGCAAGACGCCATTCTGGGATGCCCTATGGTTACAAGGGAAAACCAAAGCATATCGCCCCCTCATTTTTGCCGCCGCCCATGGAAGAGGTGGGTGGTGCGGGATGCACTACGGGACCTTGCTTGGATGCGCAAGATCAGCAAGTCCACCAACCCTACGTTCAGCCATATTATCGAGTTTGTAAACCTCTTGATCAGACTAGAGTAGATCACTCTCCTTGAGGATGTTGACGATGACATATCATGGAAATTTGAGGCAAATGCAGAATACTCGCCTGCTTTCGCGTATAGGGCCTAATTCTTTGGGTCCACGTCGACTACCATGAACAAGACCATCTCGAAGGTTTGCCCCCCTCAAGTCAAGTTCTTCTCTTGGTTGGCGATGCAAAGCGGAACTGGAGGGCCGACAAATTAGAAATAAGGGGTTGGAAAATTGTGGTCTTTGCACCCTTTGCAAGTGGGCCGGCCAATGAAACTTCCGCCAACTGTTCTACAAATGCTGGTTCACGTTGAGGGTTCATCGGATGGTCAAGGAGTGATTCACTAGTGGAGAAATGGCTACCCACAACTTTAATTATCAGCGCCCTTTCTAATCACAAATAGTGGTGGCGTTGACATATTTGGTACAACACCTTTATATAGTTAGTGCTCACGTTGCTATTTTTCCAACACAACACAAATTTGTGGGCCCATTTGTACTGACCAGGCACAAGCTAATGCTGGCGTTGTATTTCAGTCAACACCGTAGGTAATTAGTTTAGTGCTTCTGTGCTACGCCACAAATAATTTTGAATCTTTTTTATTATTTTGAATCTTTTTATTATTTTGAATCATTTGTATCTTTTTATTATTTTGTATCTTTTATTATTGTTTTGTATCTTTTATTATTATTTTGAATCTTTTATAATTTTGAGTCTTTTATTAATTTGAGTCTTTTTATTATTTTAAATCCTTTACAATTTTGAGTCCTTCATTAATCAGAATCTTCTATTATTTTGAGTCCTTTTCTTATTTTGAATTTTGAGGCTTTTTATTTTTTTGATGATTTAATTATTTTCCGGACGCGGGCCTATTCGGCCTAGCCCAACATTGCATTCGACATGGCTGGGTCAAAACCTAGGGGGGCGGGCCCCTCGCCCCACTCGACACCTCTTTATCTTGATCCCATTTTGTTCTCGCCGCCAACTTCTTCGACCCCCTTTTGCCGACGGTGATTTTGACCAATTTCGGTGTGCTCCGGTGCTCTACTATTTCTTCTAGCCCCCCTATTGCTGACATAGATCTACACCTCCCCTCTCCTGGCCATTGCATGAATTTTTTGTCTCTTTTTATTTGAACCCAAATGTTAAGGTTTCGACGATGACAACATGCAAGAGTTAGGCGATGGCGATGGAGATGCGGGCGGGTGATGACGCACATCAGCTCCTATCCTCAATGAGTATGTCCCTTTCGATTTGTTTGCTTGAATCTTGGCACTATAAAAGATTAGCTAGGTTCATTCTAGTTTTAATTAATGGGCTTTGAGAGTGCCAAAAAATGGTTAGAAAAAATCGTTGATAGTGCCAAAATGTAAAATATGACATTGCCAAAATGTAAGCTTTGAATGTGCCAAAATAGAAACATTGAAAATGCTAAAATGTAAACCTTTACAATGCCAAGATGTAAGCTATGAATGCGCCAAATTGAAAACTTTGAGAGTGCCAAAATGTAAACTTTCATAGTGACAAAATGTAAGCTATGAATGTGCCAAACTGAAAACTTTGACAATGCCAAAATGTAAGCTATGAGTGACAAAATGTAAACTTTGCCAGTGCCAAACTAGTGTTGATACAGGTCATGTATTCCTTTAGTTGCATTCATATACTCTAGTTCATACTAGGCTTAAGTAGTGTTGGTTGGTAATGTAGTGTTGAAGACTTGATATAATATGCAGAAAATTGCTAGTGTTTTGGGTTTGATTCATATGACTAGTAAATAGGTACTACAGTTGATCTTTGTCAATGAAAGAGCATGTCAATTGAGTAAAAAATGCCATGGTATATTGAATTTGCCATGAAATGTACAGTAAAAATGTCGTTATGTGATATACACTTGTAAAACTGCCATGTGAGGTTAATTCCTTGTCATATGTTGTCATAGTTTAGTTGGTCCTAGCTGTAGTTTTCATGGATGACTTATTATTTTGTAGTTGGCACCGATGAGTACATTCAATAGCCACTATAGGTCTTCTTGTAACTTCGCAGCATATGCCGACGGAGGCGATGCAAGCAGCAACTGAGTAAGATTCCAAACACATCCATGACCATTGCAAACACAAGCATATCTAACCATTCATGATGATTGCAAACACATGCATATCTAGCAATTTCAAACACTGGACTTGGTAGGGATACATACCAATTTTGACACCCATCGAGGAAAAGGTGTATGATGTGGACATGCTCAACCGTCAACTTCTAGAGTCTCATGAAAGTACCATCTAGGCCCTGAAGGAGATGAATGTTGCACTAAAGGCAGAGAGGGATCAACTAATCGACGAGAAGGCTAATCTATTCAATAAGACTTAGGCTGAAGGAGCAGAGGGATCAGCTGATCGAGGAGAGAGGTCAGCTAAAGAAGGAGAGAAAGGTCCTCATGGCCGAGAGAAATGAGCTTAAAATGGAGAAAGCTCATTTTAGAAAAGAGGGAGAAAAAATAGGTACAAGATTCGACAGATGGAGGCAATCCTTGATCAAGAAGTGTGATCGACCGCCTAGGCTATGGAGTGTTGTAGTTTGTAAGTTGAACAGTTTGTTAAGTTTAACTACTTTAGTTCTTGAATTGCTAAATATTATGTAGTTTGTTGAGTTTATGAGTTCCTATCTAGTTTGTTAAGTTGAACTTGTTGATGCACCAATATATATTAAATTAATTGATGGATTATGTAGCTGTATATCTTTTTTATAAACGAAAAATCTAATTGGTGGCATGGCGCCAACAAGGCATGTTTGTGGTAACATATATTTACCGTTAGTGTGGCATGCCGTTAGCACAACCGTTAGTGTGACATGCCATTAGCACAAAAATACTGCTGACGCTGCTCCAACACCACCAGTAAATTTCATCACTGGCGCCATATTGGGGGCACTGGTACCCAACGCCAGCAAGGCCAGTTTTGCCATGTCATAGCTAGGCTTTTATGAACTAGTGGTTGGGCCTAGGTACGCTCGAGATTAATAG